TAAGGGGGGGGGGGACATGATAGCCCTGTTTAAATATTGGAAGGGATGTTAGATTGAGGAAGGCGCAAGTTTGTTTTCTGCTGCTCCAGAGATTAAGACATGGAGCAATGGATGCAAGCTCCTGGAAAAGAGATTCCACCTCAACATTAGGAGGAACGTCCTGATGGTAAGAGATGTTCAACAGTGGAAAATGCTGCCTCGGAGATTGTGGTGGAGTCTCCTTCTTTGGAGGTTTTCCAGCAGCAGAGGCTGGATGGCCATCAGTCGGGGCTTTGGCGGGGTATTCCTGCATGGCAGAATGGAGATGAGCTGGATGACCCCTTGGAGGTCTCCTTCAACTCTATGATTTTGCGATTCTATGAATAGCTGCTAAAACTGGAGCAATAGAGGAAGAGGGACTGAACTTATAGCATAGGTCATACAGAAGCACCTATTCAACTCTTCCAACCATGCCCTTGAGAAGGACAGACATGCTGGAAAGTAAGGCATTACATAGACACTGCCTTTCTAAGAAGGCTAATGGTGAAGCATTAAAGATGGGTCATGGTTCTGGGATGTTATGGGGCCACAAGGGCATACATAGATCATCATCCAGGCCAATGTCTTTCTGATTTCCTTTTCTTTAACCATCCTAAATGGAGAAAAAGGGAGGAGGAAAAGATGTTGCCCAAGGCCAGGGTGGTTTTGCCTTTGTCCCTCAATGGCCATAGTTAAAACCGAACTCAGCACCTCATCACCAATCCCACAAATTTTGCATTTCTTTGGCTATTAATGCAGTCAGATTGCAAATGTCCTTCCCGAGCACCAGAGGAAGGAAACTGAGGCTATGTCTACACTATAGAAAGAATACAGTTTGGCATCCTTTTTAAGTCCTGTAGCTCCCTTCTAGGACATCCTGGGATCTGTAGTTCTAAAAAGTCTTGAGCCTTCTCTGCCAAAGAGTGCTGGGGCCTCACCAAACTGCAAATCCCGGATTTTGTAGGACGGAGCCAGGGCAGTTCAAGTGGAGCCCAAAATGCATTATATCTACAGTGTAGATGCATCCCATGTAAGAAAGCTCATGCTACAACCTCTTTCTCTTAGTTATTATTATTTATTATTGGTTATTTATTATTTCGCCTCAAAGATCCCTTAGCATACTGAAAATAATTAATATAAAATACTTAAAATTACTAAAAAGTACAAATGACACACACACACACACACACACACACACACACCATACAAATCAAGGCAGCCAAAGAAAACTGAGTCACTTCAGACAAATGTGAGACTCATGAGTGTTAAAAATCAAAGAACTGTATACTTTGGAAAAGTTACTTTTCCAGAATATAACTCCCAGAATCCCCCAATAAGCATGTTTCCCCCCGCCCCCCGGAATTGCCAACCCTGGCTGAGTGATTCTCAGAGCAGTGTTCTAAAAAAGTAAACTTTCTAAAGCCTAATAATAATAATAATAATAATAATAATAATAATAATAATAATAATAAATTCCAAGTTAAGTGGGCTTAACTCTTAAAAACAAAAATGACATCAGGCATCATAGTGGTTAGAGTAAGCCATCCATCATTGAGATTGATCAATCAATGAAATTGATTTTATGAGCAGGGAATGTTCTCCCTCTTAACATTAGGTGCTCTGGGACTACAGCTCCCATGATCCCCAATCAGCTGCTAAGAAGCGTGGGCTGATGGGAGTTGTAGTGCACAAAAAAGTACCAGGTTTTACAGCCTTGGGATGGGTGTTGGAACAGACTGTCCTGTTGTTTGTTTTCCTTGTGGTTGTGAATCACAATGACAGGTTTTCTAGCTGAGAGAAGAGAAGAGGGAAGAGAGAAAAAGGAAGGAAGGAAGGAAGGAAGGAAGGAAGGAAGGAAGGAAGGAAGGAAGGAAGGGAAAAATATTCATTTTCAAACCAGACGGCTTTGTAGGCTTTGTCCTCGCACTCTCTTCTCTTGCCAGCTGTCAGTGCAAGAACTGCAGAGGAGGAGACGTTTGCCAAGTCAAAGAGAAATTTCAATAATTTTTTGGCGCAAGGGTGAGGAAGATATGACCGATGTGGCTTTCAGGACCAATTTTCTTTTTTTTTTTTTTTTTAAAAAAAGTGATATTTATTATTTTGGCCCACTACCAAGGTCCTTAGGGAATGCGGAGACAATTTCACCATGTTTTTGGGATCCCTCTTGGGCCATTTCTGGACCAGGGTAGGCCTTATTTTCAATTGTCAAGTTGACAATTGATTTCTTTTATGGTGGTGGCAGCAAATGGTTTAATCCGTGCCAGGTGTTTTGGTGTGGCATAGTGGTTTGAGCGCTGGAGTATGGCTTTGGAAGCCACAGTTCGATTCCCAGCTTGGTCATGAAAGGGTGGCCTTGGGCAGGTCACACTTTCTCAGCCTCAGGGGAAGGCAACCGCAAACCTCCTCTGAACAAATATTGCCAAGAAAACCCCCACTACAGGATCGCCTTAGGGTCGCCGTACGTCGGAAACGACTTGAAGGTACCCAACAACAACCACAACAACAAAGTACAGTGTCATCTTCATAGCTTGTTATTTGATGCTTTTAATTTGTTGCTCTCTTTTGTATTAATATGTATTATTTTATTATTTTGTAGAATGTACGCCATTGGCAGCTTTATTTATTTTTATCTATTTTATTGACTGTACGTACAGTGCTGTGTAACTCTACAGCACTATATAAATAAAGTGTAATAATAATAATAATAATAATAATAATAATAATAATAATAATAATTGTTGATGTTTCTTCCTCCGATCATCAAACCTCCATCCTCTAAAGTTGTTCTGCATATGATATTTCCTGCATTGAAGTTGGAGAAACAAGAGGATAAAATGTAAATTTGTCCGACCTCTTTTCCGATTGGGAACCATTCTGTCTCTCTGTATTCTGTTTGCAAATTTCAGAATCTGCTGCAACGGAAACGGGAGGAGATACCCACCCATACGGCTCTCAAGTTGCATCCGCACTGCAGAAATAATCCAGTTGGACACCACTTTAACTTGCTGTGTGCCTTCCTGACGTATGGCAACCCTATCATGGCAAGCTTCTTCACAGCGGGTTTGCACTGGCTGCCCCTGGGGCTCAGAGAGTGTGACTTGCTCAAAGTCGCCCAGCTAGTTTTAAACGGCCAAACTGGGATTCGAACCTTGGTCTTCAGCATCCTAGTCCAATAATTAATTAATTAATTAAATAATAATAATAACTCACACCACTATGCCACACTGGATCTCACCACTGCCAGGGGTCCATGCTACGGCATCTTGGGATTTGTAGTTTGTTGTGGCACCAGCACTCTGACAAAGAAAGTCAAATCTCTCACAAAAGGACAAATCCCAGAACTGCACCGCATTGAGCCGCGGCAGTTCAAGTGGCACCAAACTGGATTATTTCTGCCGTGTGGATACAGCCTGGAAGGGAGCAAGGAACATGTCCCTAGTAAGGACAGAGGAGAGACAGAGTTTGCCCTTGCAAAAGCGGCAAGGACAGTCGGCCAGCCCAGGATGTGTCTCATCCAGGTCTTTTTCCGCCCCCCAAAGGCACTGTCCCTGACATCTCATAAAATGTTTTGGGGTAAGAGGGAAGCTGGCTGCTGAGAAACCCAAGGGAGACATTCGAGAGGAGAGGCCGCGACTCTGCGCAGGTGGTGAGCGCACCACAGAGCCCTGTAGGGAGGAGATACCCAGCCTTTAATTATTGCAATTAAATCGCTAATGGCTTTTCAAAAGAGCGGCCCAGGCAGATCTCATTCCAGCTCCAAGTCCGTGGGGAGAAGATCCATTCCTCCCATCGTGGGATGGCGCACTCTGACGCTCCCCTCCCACATATATGTGTGCGCATGTGCGGAGGCACTTTTTGGGGAAATGGGAGCATGCGGCGAACCACTTCCAAACACAAAAGGTCCCAGACAAGGAGGTTCTTGTCGACACCAAGACCCGGAGTAATGGGTTCAAGCTCCAGGAAAAGAGATGCCACCTAAACCTTAGGAAGAACTTCCTGATGGAAAGAGCAGTTTGATGGTGGAAGATGCTGCCTCGGAAGATGATGGAGTCTCCCTCTTTGGAGGTCTTTAAACAGAAGCTGGATGGCCATCTGTTGAGAGTCTTTAATGGTGTCTTCCTGCATGGCAGAAGGGGGTTGGATTGGATGATCCTTGAGGGTCCCTTCTAACTCTAGGATTCTAGGTTTATGGAGCTCAGGAAGCAGAGAAATCAAAGTACGACCAATGGAACCTAAAGACTGGGATCCTTCATCGCAGTCTACATTTCATAATTTTATGGCTCTGTAGCTGTGTTAAAAGGCCTGACTGCTCTAAAGGCATCAGATCCTGTCTGATCTTGGAAGCTCAGCAGGGTGAGCCCTGGTTCCTACTTGGATGGGAGAGCACCATGCACACCTCATGTAGCAGCCTCTATTTCAGAGGAAGGAACTGAAACCCACCTCTGAGGATTCCTTGCCTGAGATAAACCTATGACATTCATGGGGTTGCCATAAACCGAGACGCAACTTGAAGGCAGTGAAAGCGGTCCCAAACTGCATTAATTCTGCAGTGCAGATTGAATCCAAGTAATACTCAAGAGTTAGGCCATGGCAAACCCCCTTTTGGATAAATCCTGCTAAGAAAACCCCATGATAGCTTTGCTTTAGGGTTGCCGTAAGTTGGAAATCACTTGAAGGCACACGATAACATGACAACAAGAAGAGAAGGGTTAGTCTAGATGTGCTTTGGGGTTCCCCCTGGACCTAAAATCCTATGATTGTTTATCTCTTTGTTCATTGTTCATGTCTTTTGCTTCAAATACCTCTAGATTAATCTCAGATATCCCATTCTTTGCTGTTGTTGTGTGTCTTCAAGTCATTTCCAACCTATATAATCCTAAGGCAAACCTATCATAAGGATTTCTTGGCATGATTTGTTCGGAAGAGGCCTTCCCTCAGGCTGAGAGAGTGTGTCTTGCCCAAGGTCACCCAGTAGGTTGCCATGGCTGAGCAGGGATTCGAACCCAGGATCTCCAGAGTCATAATCCAGCGCTCAAACCATTATGCCGCATTGACTCTGATGCCAATTTAGGGCATTTTTAAAAAGACATTAAAAAACAAAAAGGAGGGGAAAGCAAAAGAGAGCATCGCCAACTAGGGCACAATATTCCAAATGTAACTGTGCCATCTATCTGCATAAATGCATAATGGGTTAAAAATAGATCCTCATCTTTTTCCTCCCCTTCCTTTTCCTTAAGCCCTGATTTTCGTTTGCTTTTCTTTTATTTCTATATTTAATTTTAATGCTTTCCTTATCTGGCGTTTACACAACAGCCAGTCACTTTAAGCCATCGCTGGCTTCTCATGGCAAACGCTTCCCAAGGGATCTTCCTCCGCTGTTCGTAAGAAGGAATCTGAGACGGCTTTCCAAAGTGGCATTCAATTTAATGTTGCCAAAATAAGGATTAAATGAAACTTCGGTGCAGAAATATCCCGGCCCTTGCAAGCGCTTAGGGTGCTTTGGCTGCATCCGCACTGCAGAAATAATCCAGTTTGATACCACTCTAACTACTGCGGCTCAATGCTACGGATTGCCAGGATGTGTAGTTTGTTGGGGCCCCAGAGCTCTCCGACAGAGAAAGCTCGCAAAACTACAATTCCCAGAATTTCTTAGCATTGGACCATGGCAGTTGAAGCGGTGTCAAACTGGATTATTTCTGCAGCACGGATGCAGCCTCTGCAGCAATGCCTTGCCACTATAGAGAGGCGGAGGGTATTTCAGTTGTATTTGTCTGTATTTTTATGTATGTTATGCGTTTTATTTTATATTTGGTCCCCAACTGTAAATAAATGGTTGACTGTAAAAAGAGCACAGCTTGACAGCACTTTCAGTGCTGTCGCTCCATCCGATGCAAGCCTGGGATTTATAGTTTTGCAAGGTCTTCTCTATCAAATCTGGGCTGCACCAAATGAAAAAAAAATCCTAAGGATGGAGACAGGGCAGTAAAAGTGGTGCTTCACAATGCTCTTTCTGGTGCAGAAAATACTGTTTTCCGCGCAAAATAACCGTGTGCGAATTTTGTGCAAAATATATCCCAACCACCGGCGAAGATTCACGTCATCCGGAATTCTTCTCCTCAGGGTTTCTCAACACTCAAAAAAACATGCTTTTGGAGCCTTTTTCAAATATTTGTCAATATTCTTTCCATCCCTAGTCACCAGCGGCCAACATCTTCTGCCAATGTGGATGATCTATCTCTGTCTATTGGATAGATCTGGGTCAATGTACACCAGGCACAGAATGGCCCTTTATGAGGTTTATGACAGCAAGCCAATGCATTTTGGAGGGGGTTGGCCATAGTCATGCTCTGAGGCTGAGAGAGTGTGGCTTGCCCAGGGCCACCCAGCAGGCTTCATGGCTGAGCAGGGATTCTCCAGAGGCATAGCCCAAACTCTCAAACCATGACACCACGGTGGCTCGCCCCTGTGCCATGCATAGGACATTTAGATAATAATAATAATAATAATAATAATAATAATAATAATAATAATAATATATTATTTTGGAATGCAGAAAAGAATATTACCTTCTGCAATAACCCCCAAAAGATGCCGGAAGGGATAAGGTAGACTTTGAATTTGGGGGTGGGAAGAGGATGTGGGTGCTATGTTTTTCTTTCTTTAGAAAAAGAGCAGCCTTGCTTTCTCCAAGATGAGAAGGAAGGAAGGAAGGAAGGAAGGGAGATAGGCCTTTCAGGGTCTGCCAAAGCCCTTATCTAATATTCTCGGACTGATAATCAATATCTTGCTTGATCAAAACTGACACAGACGAGATTGCATTTTACCTTGCGGCTGTAGCAATGTCACGCTAACACGGCAGCTAGCATGGGGGAATTAAATCTCCTCGCCCCTTTTCAACCAATCATAATCATAATCATAACCATAATGATGTTGTTGTGTACCGTCAGGCCATTTCCGACTCATGGTGACCCTAAGGTGAGTCTTGGGGTTTTCTTGGCTCAGAGAGGGTTTGCCTTTGCCATGCTTCTTCAAAGGGGTTGTTGCCCTTGCCATCCTTTGAGGCTGAGAGAGTGTGATGTGCCCAAGGTCACCCAAGGGGTTTCCATGGCTGAGCAGGGATTTGAACCCTGGTCTCCAGAGTTCTAGTCCAATGCTCAAACTACTACACTATTTGGGGAGGGGGAAATAAATAAATAAATAAGAATAATAATAAGTTTTATTTGTAACCCACCCCTCTGCTCAGCAATAAATAAATAGAGGAAATATTAGGTACAGTCAACCCTCCATTCTTGTGGGGGTAGAAATTGTTTTATTTGTT